GCTGAAGGAAGCAGGCATTTGTCCTGTGACTGGACAGGGGCAGTCAGTGGGGTGTGGGGTGGGACATGGAGAGGGCTCTGATGAGGTGCAGGGCACTGAGGCCTGACCTGAAGCAGCATCAGGAACTCCCTCTAAGTCTGCAGGCTAGGCAGTGCTTACAGTCCCAGAGGCTGAGGCAGGAGGATGGTGAGTTCTTGCCAGACACAGCTGGATAGTAAAAGGATGACCCTATCCTTGTCTGCCCCCACCCAGAAAACCCAGGAAAGTCTGCCTTAGCCAGACAAACTGTAAACAAGTCCCAGTGGCATTGGAGGAGCTAAGAGGGCCTTGTGTAATGGAATAGGCTTGTGATGTTAGGTCAGAGCTGGGCGTGACTCACCCTAGAATCACCTCTAGGAAGTGAGGGTCCTCAGTGGGCCAGACTGGTGCCGGGGCTGAATCCTCTCAGTCCTGCCGGGCTGCCACTGCACACCGGCATCTTTGAAGGCAGCAGTTGCAGGGCTTGCTCTGAAGGTTCAATCCTGAGAGACTTGTCTTGGTTTCAGCAAATTAAAAAGGACCTGAAGAAATACTCTAAGATCTTTGAGCAGAAGGATCGATTGAGCCAGTCCAAAGCCTCAAAGGTGAGCCTAAGGGGCTGCCCACGGGAGCGCATCCCTGTCTTGTCCTGGGCGGTGGTGAGAAGGGTGTGCCAGGAGCCTGGTCTGTCTTGTTCTGTGTGTGAGGGGGCCACTGTCTATGGGAACAGAGGGCCAGCACTGGTCCTTGGAACCAACATCTACCAACACTGGGTAGATAGGGGCTGGCTTTTCCTTGCTACAAGCAGGAGGGGCAGGATCAGGAAGAGAAATGAGGGTCCAACTTAAAGGAGGGGGTTCTATGGAAGGCTTTGCCCAGCACACAAGTACTTGTCAACTCCCTAACTTCAGCAGTGGTTGCTACAGACAATGGGGTCACTGTGGTTGAGCAAGTATGTCCTACTCAGCCTTACAACCTCCTCCTCCTCCAACAGGAACTGGTAGAAAGGAGGCGGACCATGATGGAGGACTTCCGGCAATACCGGAAAATGGCCCAGGAACTTTATATGAAGCAGAAGAACGAGCGTCTAGAACTACGGGGAGGTAACCTAGCTTCCGGGCTCATCTATCTGCAAGTGGAATGGTTCCCCCAAGGGTGTGGGCTAGAGCTCTGTAGCTGACATGGCAGCCATGTCTGGGGGTCAGCTTGCTGTCTGTTTTCTCAGGGGTGGACACTGACGAGCTGGATAGCAATGTGGATGACTGGGAAGAGGAGACCATCGAGTTTTTTGTCACTGAAGAGGTCATTCCCCTGGGAAATCAGGAGTGACCTCAGCACTGTGGTAAGACATGAAGTCGGGAATGGTGATGAGTCTCTGGCTGCTTGTTAGACCACAACAAAGACACCCCAGAAAGATGGCGGTGCTGCCACTGGTGGTTGACAGGGAGCTTGGGAGGCGGGCCTGGCCAGCTGTGCTGCAAGGAGGAGGGTAGCGTGGGCACAGGTCACAGTACGGGGCTGAGTCTGGCCTGTGGTGCTTCGTGCTGGTTCCCTGAGGAACCGTGAGAGCTGAGACTCAGGTGGAGTGGGTGCCGTTGACATTTCGGCCACTCTGGCAGGGGTACTCCTCTCCACAGCCTGCAGTGAGGTCACTGGAGAAGCTGGCTGTGGGCCCTTGCTTTGTGTCTGACTAAACGGTGCCCCGTTTGTTGCAGTGTCACTGTGCCGTGCCCAGGATCCGAGGCCGCCCTTCACAGAGAGCCTTGGGCTGGGTTCTCACCTGTGCTTTCCTGCGCTGGACTGTGCGTGCACCCGGGGTTCTTCCATCCCGACACAGCTCTGTGCCTTCAGCCCCTGTCCACAGCAGGGACACTCAGGCTCCGCTCTCACGTTGCCCTGTTAGGTTTTTATCAGCCGTGTCTGCTGTGGGGTCTCACTGCAGTGTTCTGGTGGCTCCTAAACTCCTGTTGCCATGGTGTTTCCAGAGCCTCCGCCTGCTGCTCAGTGGGGTCATTCACGGACTTGCTGTCCCTGCGTGGGCCGGAGACCGGCAGGGAGACTGCGCTCCCACCTCTTCCTTGTGCCAGAAGCTCTGGAGGCACCCCAGCACCTCGCACCTGTTCAGGTTGTGGCAGGGCCTCTGCACAAAAGTTGGTGTGGAAATAAAGGCAACCCTGTGTGAAAATGCTTGCTGTCTTGCTCCTCTTTGTAGAGCGAGTAGCCTGTGAGGCCTGCCTCCCCATTCCCCGTGTGAGTGTTTGCACGCTGCCCCTGGGTTGTTGAGAGCCTGTCTGGAGTCTGACAGGTGCTATGTCTTTCATCTGTTAATATGAAAAAATGCTTCCCCCCACCAAAAAAAAAAAAAAAAAAACCAAACAAACTACTTTGGGTTTTCCAAGTTGGAAAACAGGTACTGAGGTGTTTTCCACTGAGACAAGTGGACACAGCTGGTGTCCAGTAGAGAAGGAAGACGAGCAGAGGGGAGCTCCAACCGGTCATCTGAGGCCCCATTGCACAGCATCCTGCCTTTTGCAGGCTCTACCTGCCTCTGCATCTCTTGTGACCAGAGAGCTGCCCGGGCTGAGCCCACAGCCATGGATGGTATGTCTCTGGGGCATGTGCGGCCAGCAGGGGACAGGCTACCAAAGCGGAGCAGAAGGCCAAGATCAATGGTTTACATGCTTCGTCCCTGGGAGTGGCTCACCTTTCCTCCTGTGCCTTAGCTTCATCCTTTGGCGTCTGTGGGCTCTGTCAGGGCTACGGGCCTCTTCAGCATTTTTACCCCACTCCTATTTTCCTTAAACATTTTTCTAGTCTCAACGGCAGTAAGAAAGAGCACAGCATATTCTCTCTCTCTCTCTCTCTCTCTCTCTCTTTCTCTCTCTCTCTTTTTGGAGTCACTTTCTCTGTGTACCATTGGCTGTACTGGACTTTGTAGACCAGGCTGGCCTCAAACTCCGAGATCCACCTGCCTGTGCCTTCCAAGTGCTGGGATTACAGGCCTGTGCCATTGCATGAGGCTACATTTACAGGTTTTTAAATGAGAAGCTCTTCACTATTTGAAAAACTTGATTTTGATTGGTTTCTGTGATTTTTAAGTAAAAGCATTTGTGAAGTCTGGGTTTTCTGTCTTTGTGGTACAGCTGGAATTTAGGGGGAGCTCCTGCCTCCCAGACAGCTGTGCGCCCCGCTCAGCTTGGGTGGGTTTAGGGCACTACTGCAGGCTTCATCTCCATCCTGTCTCCAAGAGGCTCCTTCGGCCCAGATGATGAGAAACAGGACTGACCAAGAGTGGGAGCCCCGGCCTCCGCTGAACTGCTGTGACCGCCGAGGGGGAGGGCGGGGCTTGCTTCAGGGGCGCTTGGCAGAGCCCTCACAGAAAGCCCAAGTTGGGGTTTTATGCCCATCAGTCAGCTTGTTTTTGCCTTTTTTTTTTTTTTTTTTTTTTTGTGCATCCTTGACTATCCTGGAACTCAGGTCTGCCTGTCTTCGTCCCAGGCATGCAGCAAAGACAAGTTTTCTCTGTGTAGGTCTGGCTGTCCTGTGTCTTGCTCTGTAGTCCAGGCTGACCTGATTCAAGCCATCAGCCAGGATTAAACATAGGTGATACCCACCCGGCAACTGTGTGTTTCTTCTTGCATGTCTGTGTACCACTTGTGCAGTGCCCTGGAGGCCAAAATCCTCTAGAACTGGAGTTAACAAATGTTAGCTGCCCTGGGGATTGAACCTGGGTCCTGTGGAAGAGCAGCTCGTACTTACTGCTGAGCCATCTCTCTAGGCCCTTTGTGTGTCTTCCATCAAAAGACAGGGCAGTGCTTGGAACACCAAACAGCGCGGGTGCTGGTTTTCGTGTTCACTTTGTCTGCTTCTACCTCCCAAGTGCTGGGATTAAGGGAGCACACCACCACTGTCGCCCAGGGAAACCTAGCCCTTTAAGAAAGAAAGAATTTTATTTCATTGTTCTTTGTGTGTATGTGCATGCCTGTGGAAGCCAGAGGAAGCAGTTCTTCCACCTTGTGCATGCCAGGAGCTGAGCTTGGGTCTCCAGACCGAGCAAAGCACCCTACCCACTGTGCCGACTCCTGGGCCGGCCCTTTAATACGGCTTTTGTTTGGTGGTTTTGACATATTTTGTATGTGTGCCATGTGGAAATCAGGACAGCTTGCAGGCGTTGGTTCTCCTGGGTGGATCCCAGAGGAAGAATTTAGGCTGTCAGGCTTCTTGGCTGGTGCTTTTACCTGCTGAGCCATCTTTCCAGTCCCCACGCCTGGCTCTTAGTAGCTCGGGCCACCCCAGGCTACCCATGTGGCATTGCTGGTGCAGTCTTCTTGGCCGGGCTGCTGAGTTCACAGGACTATCCCCCAGGGATCCTGTGGAAAAGGTAAAGCAGCGAATGCATCAGAGCCATTCCTAAATCCCAGCCTGGGTGTGCAGCCAGACACTGAAGGCTGGAAATTCCACCAGAAACTTGGTCATCTATGAGACCCTGGCAAGGTCACTGACAGCTGGAATCGGCTTCTTCGGGTTCAGCCATTGTTTAGTCCCCTTGAATGGGAAGCCACAAATATACTGGGCTGCTGTTCTGAGGTGACACGTGTGGGGGCACTCCTGGCCTCAGGGCAGGAAGGAGCTCCATACTGTAGTTCTGTAGTGTTGGCTCAGCTCTAGACCAGCCACTTCTCTGGCAAAGGGGAGCTTAGAGACAGGCTCAACAGGCTTCTTGTCACGGTCCCCATCATGGTATCTGTGAGGTCTCCCTGGCTGCTTGGGAACTACTCAAACCCTGGGGGCTGTCCTGACCAAAGAGACAGGATGACAGCAGTTTGGTAGATGAAGCTCAATGTTAGCCCAGCCCCACCTCTGGGGACCTAGCTGATGTCACCAGAGTGAGCCTGGGGAGCAGGGCGGGGCTGAGCTGGGAAGGTCTCCTAGCCTCCGATTCTGCTGGGTTGGCCCGGGGCCCTCTAGTTCTGACTCCCAGCATGCCCTTCCACCAGACCACTGACCCCTCTCCAGCCCGGGGCAGCCCAGGCCTGAGGGAGGTGGAACCCAAGGACCAGCAGCTCATGGTGAGTGCCTTCCCTCACATCCCCTGCTAACTCCAGCCCTGCCAAGAAACCCCAAACCCCGTGCCCACAGATCAGGTCTCACCGGCCCTTTAGGGACCGGTGTCCTACTTCTTCCCGAGTTCCTTTCCTTAGACCCAGGGATGCTCTCATGCTTCTCACCCAGCGTCTCTAGATTCCTTATACCCCACTTTCTGAACCTCTGCCCACAGCCCAGGGCCATGGGGCAGGCCTCTTCCAGGCTACCTGGACCCTCGGCCCATATGATCTTGGGGTGAACTGCACGCAGAACGCCCACTGGCCACCTGTGACAGGTTAAGACTGGGCTCATGTCATCTCTGATACCCTTATGCGTGGGCTGGTGGAACTGAAGGACAGGCAGAGCCCAGGCTCCCTCTCCTCAATGCTCAGAGGGCCAGAAGCCACAGGTGTGGGTCCTGTCAGTTCAGCTGAAAGAGGCAGCTGCGTGACCTCGACACTCCTGTGCTCCACGGAGCGATGTCAGCACCGATTCCTCAGAATATCTCTAGGAGGCAGGCACAGCTCCACACAAGTGGAGTCGAGAGGTGAATGGGGGTGAGGCTTGCATGGCCCCACTGGGAAGACAGGGAACTGGCTGAGGGTCATGGTGCTGCCTGGTCCCTGTTCACAGGTGGCGATTCGGATCCGCCCACTCAACAGTGCAGAACTGGAGGAAGGAGCCACCGTCATTGCCCACAAAGTGGGGGACCAGGTGAGGCTGGACACTCACTCCCCCACCAGAGGCACCTGCTAGCACCTCTGGGGCAGTGCTGAGGTGACAGCCTCCGTCCACGCAACTGTTTCATTTGGGTCTTTATCTGTGTGTGTGTGGGGGGGGGGGAGTGAGCTTGTTTGTATCTGTGTGAGAACGTATGTGAGTGTGAGTATGTGAATGTGTGTGTATGAGTGTGAGATGGACAGAATGTCCCTGTTGGTCACTAGGGAAGTTAGTGAGGTACTCCACGAGATGATGCTCAGGCACAGTGTTTACACTTGAGCCAACAACCCAAAAGGTGGGTAGAAGAAGATCCTTGCTGAACGCTGCTCACTCAGAACACCCAGGGGAAGGTCCCGTCGGCAGAGCTGCTGCTGGGGTGAATGAGGTCATGGACTGTTAAACAGTGCACAATGGGTCCCTGTGTGTGTGTGTGTGTGTGTGTGTGTGTGTTTGCATGCCTGTGTGCATGTATGTGTGCGTGTGTGACGAACAGCTCAGGGGTTAAGCGCACAGGCTGCTCTTCCCGAGGAAGCACCCGTGTGGCGGCTCACAGCCATCTCTAACTCCAGAACCGGGAGATAGCTGCTGTGGGAACCAGGCATGCACAAAGGCTACATACATGGAGACGAAGCATCAAGGCAAAGGGCTGCAGGGACGGCTCAGTGCTGGCTGTGCATGCGGGAAGACGCGGACTGGGACTCCTTGGGAGTCCGTGGACCGATCTAGCCAGATCTGTGGGCTCAGGATGCAGTGTTTCTAAGAATTAAGGCGGAGGAGCCGGGCGTGTCTGCACGCCTTTAATCCCAGCACTCTGGAGGCAGGGGATGGAGGAGTTCAGACCAGTCTGGTCTACAGAGTGAGTTCCAGGACGGCCACAGAGAAACCCTGTGTTGTAAAACCAAACCACACCAAACCAAAAGGTGGAGCACAGCTGGGAAGACAGCACGTGTCTTCTGGCCCCGAGAAGCACTCGCACACACACGGGCACACCTGTGCACACACAAATCAAGGCGAAACACTATCTGCCCATGTAGCCGAGGCTAGCCTGCAATTTCTCCTGCTGGGCTGCGGGGGGTGCACCACTACTACCTGGCTCAAATTTTCACCTTTTTCGTTTTGTTTTGTTTTGTTTTTTGTTATTGTTGTTCTTTTGGTTTTTGTTTTTTGTTTTTTGAAACAGGGTTTCTCTGTGTAGCTCTGGCTGTCCTGGACTCACTCTGTAGATCAGGCTGGCCTCCAACTCACAGGGATTGGCCTGCCTTTGCCTCCCAGAGTGCTGGTATTACAGGCAAGAGCCACTGCACCCCGAACACTTTAAATTTTTAAAAATTAAGATATAATTACATCACTTCCTCCCTTCCCATTTCTTCTAACTCCTGCCATGCCTTCCCTTCCCCCCTTTTCAAGCAAAGGACTGGGGAGCGTTTAGTCCTTTGCCAGCTCTGCAGCCAGCATATCTATCCAGTTCCAGAGTGTTTTCTCCCCGGGGAAGAGCTCCCCCGCCCAAGTCCTCAGCCGCCATCCGACTTTTGACTCGGGTTTCTGGACATTTCATGTCAATGTAGTCACGTGTGTGGCCTTCCACGTGTGGCTCAATGCTCAGTGTTTTTGAAGCTCAGCTATGCTGTAATAAGTTCAATTCACTTCCTCCTCATTCTCCTCTTCTGCTTCATCTCTGTAGATCAGGCTGGTCTCAGACCTCAGAGGTCCACTTGCCTCTGGTTCCTGAGTGTTGGGATTAAAGGTGTGCACCACCAGACCCAGTTACTATTATTTTGACATAACTTCAAACCAGTGGAGGATTGCAGAAATGCTAAGAACCCAGTGTTCCCTTAAGCTCATATATTTGCCTCACTCTGCCCTCTCCCCTGGGCTCTGACTCCATTTTTCTGGAGCATTTACAGTCAGTTGAGGACACAAGGCCCCTCCCCACCAAAACCCCACCAAAACATCCCATCATGTGCCCCTCCCCTTTAAAGATTTATTCATTATTTATACACCATTCTGCCTGCATGTATGCCTGCGAACCAGAAGAGGGCACCAGATCTCACTATTGATGGCTGTGGTTGCTTGGGAATTGAACTCAGAACCTTTGGAAGAACAGCCAGGGTTCTTAACCTCTGAGCTACCTCTCTAGCCCCATCATGTGCCTCTTTAAAACAAAAAACAGTCTCATTCAGGTGTAGTGGGTCATGCCTGTAATTCTGTCATTGGCTGATCAAGGCAGGAGGATCATGAATTCAAGGTCAGCCTGGGCTGCATAGCGAGACCCTTTCTTAAACTTAAACAAAAGACTAGGGTTAGGGAGATAGCTCAGAGGGTCTCGGTTCAAATACCCAGCACCCATGTAAAAAGCTGGATACAAGTAAAAAGCCTCTCATTCCAGCACTCGGGGAGGCAGAGGCACGCAGATCTCTGTGAGTTCAAAGTCAGCCAGGCCTCCAAAGCAAGTCCAGGACAGCCAAGGCTACACAGAAAAACCCTATCTCAAAAAAACAAGACAAAGCTGGGCATGACTGTATCCCCATATCTGTCACCCTAGTACTGTAGGGAAGGAGACAGGAGGGTTAGTGGGGCTTGGCTGGTAGCCTGCCTAGCTCCAGATTTAGTGAGAGACCCTGTCTCAAGGGAATAAAAGGCAGAGTGACAGAGCGGGACACCTGAGCTCTTTCTGTGTGCTCATACACTATACTCTGCCACACTGAAAGAAAGGAAGAAGCCAGGTGGTGGTGGCTCATGCCATTAATCTCACCCAGGAGACAGAGGCAGAAGGATTTCTGTGAGTTCCAGGCCAGCCTGGTCCACAGAGTGAGCTCCAGGGCATCCAGGGCTACACAGAAAAATCAACAAAAACCATTCTTGTCATGCCTAGCATGCTTCAGGCATTGACCTGCCTGGGACATTGAGGGGATGTAGAATAGACAAACACAGAAAGCTCTTGGATGCAGAAGCTTAAGGGGGACTCCCAGGAGCCCAGTGTGTTTGTCTGGGACATTTGAACAGGGGGGTAGGGCTGTTGCACACTAATAAACGAGGGGGCAGGAGGAACGGTCTCTGGAGGAAGCAGTCCTCAGGCCTTAAGCATCCAGGGGAGAAATCTGTGATGGGTGTTGTCTGCACAGTCAGCTTTCCCACGTGGGCCAGAGGACAGCTCCGAAGCCTCTGTAAGCCTTGCTCAGAGAAGGCTTTGCCGCTCCCACGGGGCTGGTACGTTGGGGTCCTTGGCATGGCTCTGCCCATGTCAACAACATACATTCGCTCAGGACTTCAGTTGCTCCCCACACATCCTGCCACCCTGTTGTGAGCCCCAGTGTGGGTGCTGGGAACCCACCCTGCAGGAGCAGCGAGCAGTCCCCACCACTGAGCCAGCTCCCCGGCTCCTCACACATCGTTTTTAGAACTCAAGGGTATCGAAATAAGAACGAAGCTCAATGGAAATGGCTAGATGTGTAGAGATAGCTCCCAACCGGACACTCTGAATAACATCACTGACCAAAAGAGGACATTCATTCAAAAGGGAATTTAAACAGGAATTCACTACAGCCTGCTCAGGAATTTAAGATTTGTCCTAACTGGCCAGGTGCTGATCCAAACAACCATGGCCTTTTCTTGGGGTTTAAATAAGGCATAGATAACATTTACTGAGGTTTAATCATGGGATAATTTAATCATAAGATAATGCCAAAAGTAATTTTCTTTTCTTGTGGTCCCCTTTAGTGCCCCAGTGTCTACCTCCTCTTGTGACCACATAGAACTTGTTTATAAAAAGTTAGAAGCTAAAATCTACACATGGGAGAAAACATGTGGATTTGCCTGTCTGGGCCTGGTAACTATATATTTTTTCATATATATTCATATACTATATTTCATATATTTTCTAGTTTCATTTATTTATCAGAATTTCTTTTTTTGAGACAGGGTTTCTCTGTGTAGCCTTGGCTGTCCTGGACTCACTTTATATACCAGGCTGGCCTCAAACCCACAGAGATCTGCCTGCCTTTGCCTCCCAGAGTGCTGGGATCAAAGGTATGTGCCAACACACCCGGCTTTTACTGGCAAATTTTGTAATTTCATTTTTCTTTACGGCTGTGTATATTTCCGTTGTGCATATGCGTCACACTTTAATTTCCCATTATCAGGTGATGGACGTCTGGCTAGTTCTGTTTTCTGGCTGTTGAGAACAGAGCAGCAATGAACGCGGATGAACCAGTGCCCTGTGGTGGAATGCACAGTACTTTGTTTGGATACATACCTAGGCGTGGTGTATTTGGATCACATGGAAGATATATTTTTAGCTGCTAGTTCTTCTTCTTTTTCTTCTTCTTGGGTTGTTTGTTTACTTTTTATTTTTTTAGACAGGGTCTCACTATGTAGCTCTGGCTGGACTTGAACTCAGAGAACCATAGGCCTCTCTGCCTCCCGAGTGCTAGGATTGAAGCTGAGTGCTTCCATGCTGGCATATTATTAGCTTCTTGAGAAACCTCCACATTGGTTTCCAGAATGGCCCAACCAGTTTGCATTCCTGCCAGCAGTGAATAGACCGTTAGCATTTGTCGATGACCGCCGTTTAGACAGGGGTGAGATGGGGTCTCAAAGTTTTGATTTGCATTTCTACCATGGTTGAGGGTGTTGAGCACGTCTTAAAAAACGAGGATGGATATTTTGATTGCATGGATGTCTATGCACCACATTCATGTCAGGTGCCCGTAGAGGCCATAAGATGGCACTGAATCCCCTGGAACTGGAAGCACAGTGGTTACGAACTACCCAACCTGGGTGATGGGGACCAAACTCAGGTCCTTTGCAAGAGCAAGAAGTGCTCTTAATGGCCAAGACATCTCCCCAGCCACAGGGCATCTTTTCTCTATCTTTAAGAAACATCAGATGACTAGTGGTGGTGGCACACCTTTAATCCCAGCACCCAGGAGAAGGAGACCGCTGGGTCTCTGAGTTCGAGGCCAGCCTGGTCTACAGAGCAAGTTCCAGGACAGCCAGCCTGGAAACCTTGTCAGAAAAAAAAAATCAGGTGATTGAGGGTTAGGGTTAACTTCCTGGCTTATAGGTGGGGCTTATCCATCCCGGCCCTCTGTGTCTGGGTGCCGGGACCACGCATTGTCCCATGCTGCCTCTGTCATATGTGCTCATCTTGCAGTGGCGCTCTTTGAGCTTGGGTGGCTTTGCTTAGCCAAGGTCCTTTACTTCCAAATGGATTTTCAGATTGTTCTCTCTTGGTGAAGACACGTTTGATGGGGATTGCATTAAATCCGTAGACGGTTTTCGGTAAGAGGGCCGTTTCCACAGTCTAGGTTGAGTTGTCTTTGGGCATGGAGAGCTCCCATCTTCCAGTGCCTCTCAAGTATTTCAAAGTTCTTGTTACAGAAACTATCCTCCTCCTCAGTTAGCTTTATTCCAAAGCATCTTTTTCTTTTTTTTTGCCCCTGAAGCTGTTATGAGTGGGCACGTTTGCATTTGTCTGACTTCTTCCTTACAGATGTGTTATTGATACATAAAAGCACCTCTCAACCTTCCTAATGCTACGACCCTTTAATACAGTTCCTCATGTTGTGGAGACCTCCAGCAATTAAAAAATATTGTTGCTACTTTATAACTAAAATTTTGCTACTGTTGTGAATCATAAGGCAAATATCTGATATGCAGATGGTCTTAGGCGACCCCAATACCTATGAAAAGTTCATTCAACCTACAGGGGTCATGACTCACGGGTTGAGAAACACTGGGATATACAACAGCTACTTATTTATTATTGTTATTCTTGTTGTTGTTGGTGGTGGTGGTGTGTGTGTATGTGTGTGTGTGATGTATGTGGGCATACACAGCATGGCAGAGACATGGACACCTTTGTGGAGTCAGTTCTCTCCTTTCCCCTTGACCAAGGCAACCTACAGAAGAGTTTTTAGGCTTATGGTTCCAGAGGGATAAGAGCCTGTGTGAGTCAGGGTTACTGTTGTTGTGACAAAACAACATGACCCAAAGCAAGTTGGGGTGCAAAGGGTTTATTTTGCTCACACTCCCACATCCGTGTTCATCATTAAATGAAGTCAGGGCAGGAACTGACAAAGGCCAGGACCCTGGAGGCAGGAGCTGATGCAGAGGCCATGGACGGTGCTGCTGGTTTTCTGCTTTTTACAGCACCCAGGACCACTAACCTGGGGCATGGCACTACCCACAACGGGCTGGGCCCTCCTCACTCCATCACTAACTAGGAAAATACCCTACAGGCTTGGCTGCAGTCCAATCTTACGGAGGCATTTTCTCCACTGAGGTTCCCTCCTCTTGGATGACAGGAAGGTAGCCAGGACAGAGTCCGTGATGATGGAGTAGAGGCATGGCAACTGGAGCGGGAAGCCGAGAGCTCCTATCTTGAACTGCAAACAGGAAGCAGAGAGAGTTCACTGGCAATGGCGGCATACGGCTTTGAAACCTCAAAGCCAGCCCCCAGTGGCACACTTCCTTCAGCAAGGCCACGCCTCCTAATCTTTACCAAACAGCAACGCCAGCTTGGGACCATGCATTCCAATTTCTGAGCCTATGCACGACATTCCATTCAAACTACCACCCATGGGTCCTGGAGGTGGAACTCAGGCCATCAAATTTGCATGGCAAGCACGTTTACCTGTTGAGCCACCTCACTGGCCCAGCTACTGATTGTTCGTTAACTTTGTCTCCTGTCACTTTGTCTCCTGAAAGTGTCTATCCATGCTGAGATTCTTTCCTGGGGTAGTTAGGGTCTCTTTTATATAGAATCATATCATCTGCAAATAAGGATGCTCATTATAACAACAGGATAGCTCTGTGGGGAAAGGGGCTTGTGTGCAAGCCTGACGATCTGAGTTCGATTCCCCAGCCTCCACAAGGTAGCAGCAAGGGAACCAACTCCCGAGAGCTGTCCCCACCATGGCATGCACATTCCTGCCCTTGCACAAATGTACACACTGAAGAAATACAGAAAATAAAAATTCTTAAATTTTATCTATTTCTGATTCAAGACCCAATTCTTTCTCTCTCTCTTTCTTTTTCTTTTTCTTTCTTTCTTTCTTTCTTTCTTTCTTTCTTTCTTTCTTTCTTTCTTTCTTTCTCTCTCTCTCTCTCTCTCTCTCTCTCTCTCTCTCTCTCTTTCTTTTTCTTTTTCTTTTTCTTTCTTTTTCTTTTTCTTTCTTTTTTTGAGACAGGGTTTCTCTGTGTAGCCCTGGCTGTTGTGGAGCTTGCTCTGTAGACCAGGCTGGCCTCAAACTTGGAGAGATCCACCTGCCTCTGCCTCCCTGAGTGCTGAGATTACAGGCGTGCATCAGATACTTGTATGTTTTCTTATCAGCCCTAAGGCTGGACAGTCTTTAGTGAGCAGGCTCTGCGGTCACTGCCACTTCACAGATATGAAGACTGGGTGAGGCCTGAGAGAGAGCATAGAGCCAGGGTTCCAGAGCCCATGTCTGCAACTCACAATCCCACAGTCCCCTGGCATGCCCTGTTGTTCAGATGACCCTGGTTGTAGACCCTTCCTAGTCCTCCTGCAGCCCTGGCCCGGCCCACAGTGGGTGGGCTGACCTGGGGTCACCATTCATCCCCAGGAGGAGAGAGAGCAAAGAAAGTCAGCTTATGTAACCTTGCAAGTGCTGGCCAGAAGCCAGGAAAAGCCCTGGCAGAGCCTGGCCTCCCAGGACTGTGGTTTCCAAAGCTAAGGACACAGGAGGGGCAAGTGGTGGCCACGTGACAAGACCCTGAGAACCACCCAGCTCTGCCTCCACCAACTCTGTTCCTCCCTGGTGTTAGGCCGTGTCTCCACCGGCCAGACTGCGCTGGTCTCTACCCATTTCCCCATTCCCCCTCCTCTTCCCCCATTGTCCCCGGGGCAGACTCCTTTAATCCCTTTGCCTCCAAGATCTTAACAGGCTTGCTTGATAATAATGTCCATGGGGACTGAGGGTCCCCGGGGACTGCCAGGCTCTTAGAGGAATGGAGCACGTGGGTGGAGGCTTTAGGACAGTCCCTTTACCTTTCTGGTCCTGCAAGGGGAGAGCAGCTGTGCAGGGGCCAGCCCAGCGCTCTACAGTTTCTACCGCCTCTGGCCTTCTCTGATGACATGAGTTCTTAAGAGGGTCTTGTCTCTATGGGGCCGGGGGTGGGGGGCTGGTGGTCTGGCCTGTTGGGTGAGGTTGGTGAAGCATGGCAGGCTTGCGGTTGTCTGGGGCCATTTATGTGACTGTGGAGCTCACAGTCTGAGGGGCGGTGTAGGGTCATGCCTTGGGTGGTGACAGCAGGAGACACTGTCCCTAGTGAGTAAGGCAGGGTAAGGTGCTCACTGTGCAAGACTAAGGACCTGAGTTCGGATCCCCAGAACCCACACAAAAGCCAGCTGCAGCTGCGTGAGCTGAGAGAACAGACACAGGAGGGCCCCAGGAGCTCTCTGGCCAACAGGTCTAGCTGAAACGGTGAGCTCCAGGCTCAATGAGAGTCCCTGCCTCAAAAAGACATCCTGAGGCCAGCAGTGATGGTACACATCTTTATTGGGGGCAGGGTTCTGAGGCAGGGTTTCTCTGTGTAGCCCGGCTGTCCTGGAACTCACTCTGTAGACCAGACTGGCCTCGAACTCAGAGATCTGCCTGCCTCTGCCTCCTGGGTGCTGGGATTACAGGCATGTGCCACCATATACATCTTTAATACCAGTCCTCGGGAGGCAGAGGCAAGCAGCTCTCTCTGTGAGTTTGAGGCCAGCCTGGTCTACAGAGCAAGTTCCAGGACAGCCAGGGCTCCAAAAAAAAAAGACATTCTGACCTTCGCCTTTCATATGCCTTCCACACACAGAGAGAGAAGGGAAGGGTGTTGGAGAGGGAGGAGGAGGAGGGAGGGAGAGAGGGAAGGAAAAGAACGTAAGCTTACAGCCATCTCTGGCCCTGGGCCTTGCTTCTGGATGTGGCCACAGGTCTGGATGCTTGCCAGGGTCTGACTGGCCCTCCCCTCCCCTCCCTGTCCTGCTGCATCCAGGTGGTGGTGCTCATGGACCCGGGCGAAGATCCGGAGGACACCCTGCGTGCACACCGCTCCCGGGAGCGCACCTTCATATTTGACACCGTGTTCGACCAGCACGCCTCTCAGGTACACCCCTCCCCCCACGCCTCTGCTCAGACGCTGTATCAGCAAGGACTTCCTGTGCGGCCCCAGCTCCTGAGTGACTCGCAGACTTCTCAGAGTCATTAGTTTATGGCACTAAGCTGGGCAGATTCTGGGGTTAAAGGTCGGCCTATGTCCCAGCCACACGGGGCCCTCACCTGTGGTTTCTAATCTCATCCCAGCACCTGCTCCTTCATCCATCTGGCTGGTGACCTCTCCTCTTTCTCTGCTCCCCACTGGGGACACCCTCCCCACTCTGTCCTGAAGTCCTGCTTCCTAATCCTGTCTCAGGGTATTGCCTATTGGTTTTTTTTAAAATTATGTTTATTGGTTTATTGGTGTGAGGATATCAGATCCTCTGGAACTGGAGTTACAGACAGTTGTGAGCTGCCATGTGGGTGCTGGGAATTGCACCTGAGTCCTCTGGAAGAACAGCCAGGGCTCTTAACCACTTTTTGTCCATTGGATTTTTATTTTTAATTTTAATTTTATTTTTTAAATTAATTCCAGTTTATTCACTTTGTATCCTAGCCCCCTCCCCCATTCCCTCCCAACCCCACCTTCCCTTCATCATCTCTTCCCATGCCCCTCTCCAAGTCCACTAATAGATGAGGTCCTGCTCCTTTTCTGGATATTTATTAAAGCCAATCAGAAGGTGAGGGTGAACAATGTTTACAATACAGAGACGAGAGATGTTTCATAAAAATGACAATGCCAAAGTCTGGCCTGTACTCAGCCCTCTGGGTACAGAAATCAGCATCTGAATAACACAAGGATAATCATTGAACTGTGCCTGAAAATATCACCCCAACATAGCACCCGGGGCCTAGGTACCAGGCTGTCTGTCCTCTGTCCTCCCTGGGCTCTCCCTGATGAGCCAAGCGGTTATGGGGAGGAAAACCCATGCCAGGGATCAAGGGTATGCAATTCCTCCTGTGGACACGGGTCACCAGGTCCCGCTCTGGGGTCTTCTCTCTTGCACATAATATAAGGACACAGGGGCCCTTCCTACACCAGTGAAGGTCAAGGGGAACCTGAGCACGTGTGTCCTGCTCGTTATAACATGTGATGGCCAGCGAGGCCCTCTCCAAGGAGGGACATGTAGGTTGAGAGCTGTCACAGAGGAAGGCCGGGGTCTGGCCAGAGGAGCCTATAGCATCTCACAGACCCGGAGCGTCCAGGAGGTCACACAGCAAGGTCCAGTGCTGGAGGTTCGGGCCAGGCACCAGTATCTTCGCTCTTATCACTCCCACCCTCTGTAAGAACAGAACCACAGCAACCTAAGCACCCCGAGGGAGCCAAGGCTCATCACGGCTTCCCCACGCTGGACTGAAAGCCACCAGATCCCACCCGCCTCTTTGTGACTTCGGACTAGATCTGAATTTGAGCTCTTCTGTGTGTGGTGTGACCTCAGACAAATCAAATGCCTCACATGTAGAATAAGGAAGGTGTGTGTGTGTGTGTGTGTGTGTGTCTGTGTGTGTGTGTGAAGAGGGTCCCATGTAGTCCTGGCTAGCTACAACTTGCTATGTGGCTGAGGATGACCTTGAACTCCTTATCTTCCTGCCTTCTACCTCCTGATGGCTGGATCATGGGTGTGTGTCTCCTCATCCAGCTAGGAGGAGAAAGCATTTCTGAGCATTTTGTAAGGTTTCTGGGAGGCTTGCAAGGGACGCAGGACCTCGAATGTAGCCCTCAGCATGAAGCAGCTTGATGACTGTCAGTGACCAGGTCTCTGAGGAATGCCATCCTGACCTCTGCTCAGAGAGTAGCTGGGAAGCCGCTCTGCTTTACAATGATGGCTTAGTCCCGAACTGAGGGTGACAGTGGTGGTGTCAAAGGAGACTGATGGACCGTGTCACAGAGCCATGGACAATGACAGTGCAGCCACTTGGTGCTGGAGTGGCATGTCCTGCAGCAGCCAGGAGCTAGTCCACACTGTCGGGGAGCTTCTTGGAAGCAGGCGGGCTTCTGGGCAGGGCAGGGCACAGCTGTAATGGCACACCTGTAATCAGCACGTGGGGTGCTAAGGGCATTCTGGGATGCAAAGTGAGTTTGTGACACCCTGTCTGCATAGTGGATGCAAAGCCAGCCTGGGCTACGTAATGAGACCCTGTTGGGGGAAAGGAGAAAAAAGTGAGGCGCAGGGGAGGTAGCCCAATGGTTAAGAGCACCGGATGCTCTTACAAAGGACCCGAGTTCAATACTCCGCACCTACATGGTGGCTCACAACTGTCTGTAACTCCAGTTCCAGGAAACCTGACAGGTTCTTCTAACCTCTGGGGCTACCGGGCATGCACATAGTACATACATATATATGCGGGCAAACTCTCTTACACATAGATCTCTGGGTTCTAGGCCAGCCTGGTCTACAGAGTATGTTCCAGTACAGCCAGGGCTACACAAAAAACTCTATCTAAAATTAAGACAAAAAAAAAAAGATGAACAACTTGGAAAATTTGTGGTGGGGTAGTACAAGCCTTTAATTCCAGCACTCAGGAAGCAGAGGCAGGTGGATCTCTGACTTCAAGACTAGCCTGATCTACAGAGTGAGTTCCAGGGAGAGCGAGGGATACACAGAGAAACCCTGTCTCGAAAAACAAAAAACAAAAATCTTAAAAAAACAAAACAAAACAAAGAGGAGCGAAATCTGGCTGTATGTATGCCTGCAGGCCAGAAGAGGGCACCGGATCTCATTATAGAAGGTTACGAGCCATCCTGTGGTTGCTGGGAATTGAACTCAGGACCTCTGGGAAAATGGCCAGTGTTCTTAACCTCTCCATCAATCTTTCCATTCTTGCAGAAGCCTCAGGAATGACTAGTTCCTAGCAGGTGTCAGGTCTCGGGGGGGGGTGTCCCCCAAATCTTGTTTGTTTGTTTGTTTGATTATGAGATGTATTCTCACTCTATAGCCCTGGCTGTCCTGGAACTCAGTATGTAGCTCAGGTTGGCCTCAAACACAGAGATCTGACTGCCTCTGCCTCCTGAGGGCTGGTCCCTGTCTTTTCTAAGCAATGTGTCTCCCCACTCAGGCTGGGCCGTCCCCTGACTGTCCTGTCTGTCTGCAGGAAGCTGTGTACCATGCCACCATCCAGCATTTAGTGGAGGGTGTCATCTCTGGATACAACACGACAGTTTTTGCCTATGGCCCTTCAGGTACTGGGTGGGGCCTTGTCTCTGGGAGGATACAGGCTGGGTGCCAGCAGAGGTCCCCTGTAGTGCTGTTTTGCTAAAACTATTTTATTTGGGGCTTTATTCCTTAAAGCCTCTCCCTTCCAACCCCACAACCCTAAGTAAGAGAGGTTAGTGGGGAGGAGGGTGTAGACCCCTTTACTTCTCTCTGCTGTTTAGGCTCAGTGGGTTCTTTTTTGGGGTTATGCCAATCTCTGTCCACAGCAAATGCAGCCAGGAATCTCCTCCAAGCTGCTGCACCCCAAAGCCCCTCTCTCCGTCTGTCCGTCTCCGGTCTTCACGCGGCAGGCCTTTCTTTACCAGCTGCCAAAGACCATGCACCGCACGAGACGGTCGGTCCTCAGCCGTGGACAAACTAAAGCCCAAACTAAAATCCCACCCTTGATTGAAACGAAAACATATTTACCTAACCATGGAGTTTTTAAAGAAACCAAAACTTCTGTAACAGTCCCCTGTACGCTTTTTAGAGATAAGGTTTCAGGTAGCCCAGGCTTGCCTTAAACTCACTATGGAGTCAAGGATGATCTTGAACTCCCAATCCTCCTGCCTCTATCTCCCAAGTGCCGGGAGTAACATGTGTCACGTGTCACCGTACGTAGCTTACGCCATGCTGGAGATGGAACCCATGGCCCTGTGTAGGCTAGGTGAGTACTCTACCAACTCATTCACATCCCCAACCCACACGCACGGACACATACGCAGAGGCACACACATAGTTATATATTTACATGTTTTTAGTAGTACTGGGGATCGAACCCGGGGCCTCATGCATTCTAGGCTAGCCCTCTAGTCCTGAGCTACATCCCCAGCCTCCTTACAGGCACCAGGGACCTATTTACTGCGCTTTGTCATTGGCAGCGCTAGAAGGTGAGAATGATCCCTCCTCACAGAATAGAGTCCATGGTGGCCCCAGAACACAGCCGTCAGGGGAGATTCCAGGCTGATGCTAGCATTCAGCCCTTGCCTGTGTATCCCCCCCCCCCCCAGGACCACAGACCTCTTCTCTGAGGTTACAAGGAAAGCTCAATCAGTGTTTGCAAACAGGTGTCACAGGCTTGCCCTCCTAGTTCCTTGAGAGACTAAGGCAGGAAGCTTACAAGCCCCAGGCCTGCCTGGGCTATGTAATGAGACCTTGTCTCAAATAAGAAAAGGAAGGGGAAAGGGGCTGGGGACAAGAACAGAGCCAAGAAGTAAGCTTGCCTGCAAGAAGTAAGCAGTCTGCAGAGCAAAGCCAGTTCCCTCCTTGGGTGAGGACTGGAATCCTGTCTGTGGAGATGGGACATTTACCTGTCAGGAATGCCCTCCTTCTTGGGGGCAAATGGGGAAGGGACAGTGAGGTCCCCCTATGGAGAACGCCCCTTGGAGCCATGCAGTGTGCGGGCTTTTTCTTGCCCAGCTCCTTTGAGTCGCACCCTCCCGACTCCTCCCACAGGGGCAGGGAAGACCCACACCATGCTGGGCATGGACGCGGAGCCTGGCATCTACCTGCAGACCCTCACTGACCTCTTCCAGGCCATCCAGGAGACCCAGGACAACATGCAGTATAGTGTATCTATGTCTTACCTGGAGGTGAGCCAGCTCTTCTGCCTCAGCTGATCAACTGCAGAATGGGTACAACACCGACTGCCCGTGTCAAAATCATCCTCAGGGTGTGAGCTCTCCAGCGGCTCAGCCTTCCAACTGTTTGTTTATTTACCGTCATTTTGTGTGCATTGGTGTTTTGCCTGCATGTATGTCTATATGAGAGTGTCAGATCTTGGAGTTACAAATGGTAGTTAGCCGCCATGTGGGTGCTGGAATTTGAACATGGGTCCCCTGGAAGAGCAGTCAGTGCCCCAAAACTGGGCCATCTCTCCAACCCCTAACTGGTTCTTTAAAAAAATATTAGGGAGCCGGGTGTGCTGGCACACACCTGTAATCCCAGCACTCAAGGAGGCAGAGGCAGGTGGATCTCTGTGAGTTTGAAGCCAACCTGCTTTACAAAGCAAGTCTAGAACAGCCAAGGCTACACAGAGAAACCCTGTCTCAAAAAAAAAAATTTTTTTTTTAAGGGGCTAAAGAGATAGCTCAGCAGTTAGGAGCAGCAGCTGCCTTTTCAAAGGGCCCGGGCACAATTCCCAACATCCACATGGTGGCTCACAGCCATTTGTAACTCCAGTCCTAGGGGATCCCCAATCCTCTTCTCACCCCCAAGGGTAAGTCATGCAAATGAGATACACACACGGATGCTGGCAAAACACCTACGGTAATAAAATAATTATTACTTTAATAAAGTAATAAAAAATTTAATAAAATAATAAAAAATTATTTAGGTGGCTGGGTAGTGGTGGAGCATGCCTTTAGTACCAGCACTCGGGAGGCAGAGGCAGGCAGACCTTTGAGTTCGAAGGTAGCCTGGTCGAAGGCAAGTTCCAGGACAGCCAGAGCTACAGAGAGAAACCCTGTCTCAAAAAAAAAAAAGAAAAAAGAAAAAAAAATTGAGACAGGGTTTCCCTGGCTGTCCTGGACTCGATTTGTAGACCAGGCTGGCCTTGAACTCACAGAGACCTGTCTGCCCCTGCTTCCCTGAGTGCTGGGATCACGGCTGTGGATTCTGTCTTAACCCTCAGCCATCTCTCTAGCCCCTTCTTTACCATTCTTCGCTGCTTCGTCTTAGCCTTTCTGTTCTGCTCCAGATTTATAATGAAGTCATCCGCGACCTCCTGAATCCGTCCTCTGGGTTTCTGGAGCTGAGAGAAGATTCTAGAGGCAGCATCCAGATTGCAGGCATCACGGAAGTATCCACCTCCAACGCTCAAGAGGTGAGGGTCACAGCCCAGCCCACAGAGTCCTTTGCTCAACCTCCCTGAGCAGAGACCGGCAGGCAGGTCCAAGCCGAGCTGTTTCCCAGCCTCTGGACTTGGTCTGAGATCTCTGCGGTCCGCTAGGCCTCCTGCCACTGCTGAGGGCAGACATTACCTATCGATCCTATATGCTGCTCTCAGTCTCCAGGTGCAGACCCAGGCCCTTCTCAGCACAGTCCACCAGGTGGGCGGAGCCCTGAGCTGGCGTGGCTCTCGATCCACAGGCTGACTGGATGGCTGCTCCTTTATAAGGGCAGCTGCCTGCCATCTGCTTCCTCTTGCTTCCCTTCTCTTCCCTCCCCCTGTTTCTCTCTCTTGAGACAGGAGCCCCCTGTGTAGTCCTGGCTGGCTTGGAATTTGCTATTAGACCAGGCTGGCCTCGAACTCACAAAAGCCCACTTGCTTCTGCCTCCCAGGGATTAATGGAGTTTGCCACCACATCTCATCCAACCCCCCACCCCCTTTTTGTGGTTTTCAGACAGGGTTTCTCTGTGCAGCTCTGGCTGTCCTGGAAATCGCTCTGTAGACCAGTCTAGGCTTGAACTCAGAGATCCACCTGCCTCTGCCTCCCAAGCGCTGGGATTAAGGGCGTGTGCTGCTACCGGCCAGCCCTCTCTCTCTCTTTGAAGACAGAGTCATGCTGTGTAGCCTTGGCTGGCCTAGAAATCAATTTGTAGGTCAGGATGGTTTTAAAGTCACAGAGATATGCTTGTGTCTCTCAAATGCTGGGATTTAAGGTGTGCACCACTATGCCCAGCTTTCTCTCTTTTTAAATACTTAGTGTGTGTGTGTGTGTGTGTGTGTGTGTGTGTAAGTGCATGTGTGTGCACACATGCATGCCCCTGCACACGCATGTGGAGATCATAGGACAACTTCTTAAAAAAAGATTTTTATTTTAGTGTATGGCTGTTTTACTCGCCTGTACGTGTGTCCATGTGTATGACCTACAGAGGCCAGAAGAGGGTGTCGGATCCCCTGGAACTGGGCTTACATACAGACACTTGTGAGCTGCCATGTGGGTGCTGGGAATTGAACCCAGGTCCTCTGGAAGGGCAGCCAGTGCTCTTAACCACTGAGCCTCCTCTCCAGCCCCTACCTTGTTTGGTTTGTTGACTTAAACAGGGTCTCTTCTCGGTCTAGACTTACCAAATAGTAGGCTGACTGGCCAGCCAGGCCCATTCATCCTACTGTCTCTCTCCCAGCACTGGGGTCACAAACACGTGCCTCTGCATTCAGCTTTTTTTTTTGGGGGGGGGAGGGCATGGATTGTGGGGATCCAAACTCAGATGGTGCCGTGAACTTTTTATCAGCTGAGCTGTCTCTCTAGCCTTAGACTGTGTTTTTGAGACAAGATTTCGTAGTGTAGCCTACACCAGCCCGGAATCCACTATGTAGCTCAGGCTGAGCTTACACTTAGAGCAGTCCTCCTGCCTCAGCCCCTCAAATGTTAGGATGACGGATAAGAGCTCCCATGGTGAGCACCTCAGCCTCTCCCACTACTGTGCCGTCCACACTGCACAGTCCTAGCCCAGGTCCCTACATAGCAGGCACTCCACAGAGCCTTGCTGCTTGTAGCCGCTTGCCTGGCGGGGGTTCATGTCCACGGCCAGCCCCGGCAGGTCTGCGGCTGCCCGGAGTGTGACCTGAGGAGGGTTAGGCGCTGCTCTGGGAGGCTCTGTGGAGAAGGGGTGAGTTGGGCGGGTGGTGGATGTAGCTCAGTCGATGGAGCGCTTGCCTAGCGTGGGGTCCGTGGGGTCCGTGGGGTCCGTGGGGTCTGTCCCCAGCACTGCAGGAACTGACACGGTGGCACACATTTGCAATCTCAGCGTTCGGGAGTTGGAGGCAGGAGGATCAGGAATTCGATGCCATCCCTGGTTACACAGTGAGTCTGAGTTAGCCTGGATGACGTGTCTTAGGGTTTCGATTGCTGCAATGAGACACCACCATCGAAGGACAAGCTGGAGAGGAAAGGGTTTATTTTGCCTGTGCTTCCTTATTGCTGTTCGTCACTGGAGGGAGTCAGGACAGGAGCTCTAGCAGGACAGGAGCCTGGAGGCAGGAGCTGATGCAGAGGCCACGGAGGGGCGCTGCTTACTGGTTTGCTCCTCATGCCTTGCTCAACCTGCTTTCTTATAGAACCCAGGACCACAGGCCGAGGGCTTGCACCCCCCACAATGAGCTAAGCCCTCCCCCATCAATCACTAATTTAAGAAAACGCTTTACAGCTGGATCTTATAGGCATTTTCTTAGTTGAGGTTTTCTCCTTTCAGATAAGTCTAGCTGTGTCAGTTGACATAAGACTGCCCACCACAGTAAGATTTTGTCTTACAGAGAGAGAGAGAGCCAGGTGGTGGTGGCACACACCTTAAATTCCAGCACTCAGGAGGCAGAGGTAGGCGGATCTCTGTAAGTTTGAGCCCAGCTTGGTCTACAAATTGAGTTCCAGGACAGCTAGGGCTATTCAGAGAAACCCTGTCTCAAAAGAGACAGAGAGAGAGAGAGAGAGAGCGCCAGGTGTGGCGGGACATTCCTTAATCCCAGCACTCAGGGAGGCAGAAGCAGGGGGATTGCTGTGAGTTCGAGGCCAGCCTGCTCTACAGAGTGAGTCCAGGACAGCCAAGGCTATACAGAGAAACCAAAGAGAGTCGGGTCAATCCATTAGTGATGTCTGTCATAGGTAGAGGAAGGGCAGATGGGGTGCACATCAAGAACCTCAACCCCACGAGCTGATTTAACTAACCATCCTTCATGCCATGAGCCACCCTTCCCCCTTTCCTTGAGTCTTGATGGAATGAATGTGTGGCTACTTCAGTCTGTGACTTACCTTCCTCTCCCTCTGTCCTCAGATCATGCAGCTACTCACCAAAGGCAACCGGCAGCGCACACAGGAGCCCACGGCCACCAACAAGACTTCATCCCGCTCCCACGCAGTCCTGCAGGTCACTGTGCACCAGAGAAGCCGAGGTGGCGACCTGGCAGAGGCAGTGCGCCTCGGGAGGCTCTTCATGGTGGACCTGGCAGGCTCGGAGCGCGCGGCGCAGGTGCGGCCCCCTGCAGCCCACGTTCAGATGTCATTATTATCCTTCACATGGAGTCTGTCATCCTCAGTCAGAGCAGGGCTTTGCCTGCCCTGTGCTTCAGCACCCAGAGCGGCTCTGCCACACACACACACACACACACACACACACACACACACACACACACACA